TGGGCAGTCCTGTCTTATATCCCTCAGCTCAGCAACTTAGAGCAGCTGGCTCAAGAGCACGCAGACTAGCAGGGGGACCAGAGGAGGAGCCATCAATGACACTGGCCAGCTGGGACCCTCCGACAGGGAGGCTGCACGTGCCTTTGTTGCCAGGCTCTGTCCTGACTGGGATTCAGGGCTGTGTGCATTCTGTGGCTAGGAGTACGACAGGTTCCTTTCACCTAGACCTTGAGAAGCAGGCTCCAGACAAGGCACTAGAGGAAAATGAAAACCTGCCGTTTATAGAGGAATGGGGGCTATATGCACAAATAGAAGACTACTATCCCAACTGCTCCTTGCAGAACCCTACCATGACAGAGCGTGTGTGTGCAGACAGATGAGTGAGCCAACAATAAAGTCCCTGGGATCTAAAAAATAATAATAATAATCTCCAACCCGCCATCCTCTTGTACTCCCCCGTTCATCTCAGTCGGTGTAGCTGTGCCGTGTAGTGAGAGGCTTGTCAAGGCCTCCTCTCATTGTGGGGGGATTTCGTGCTGCAGCTCTGCAGGCCCCTCCTGGGAGCAGTGCTCTCCAGCCAGAGCAGCATGCGGCTCTCGGAACCTGGAAAACAACTCCTCCAGAACAAGGGCCAAAGGTTATTGATCTTTAAATCCCTAAAACACAGGAAAGGAAACGGCTGTTGAACTGAACTAAGATGCTGATTTCTATTGACCAGACTGACGATGTTACTTATGACTTAACTGTTATCTCAGTGGCATGCTCATGGAGAAGCTCGGTGGTCTCTAGGTGAATAATCAGCCAGTGTAGACTTTAGCTCCTTTTTAATCAGTTCTCCTCAAAGTCTTAACTTTCATCCCCATCTGTTTTTTGGTTTTTTGGGGTTGTTTTTTTTTTATTTTTAATTTGCTAGAGGAATTTTGTGCTCAGCAGAGAGAAGGGAAGGCACGCGGGGCATGGTCATGCCACAGTCCCTTCTCTGTCTCTCCTCCCTTTGGCAATTTCGGGCACAAGTGCACATGTACCTGATGTGTTTTTCAAGCCACCAAGTCTGGGACTCAAGAATGGCGCAGTCGGCTGTGTGAGATCCAGCCACCTTAACCACCATGCCACCAGCCGGCTGTAACCGCGTATGTTTTAGAACACATTTAAAGTAGTGATTCTGAGCGCTGGAATGAGGGGATTGTATTGAGCCAGGCCCCACTGTGCTTACCTACTGACATAGTTTTATATGTTTTTAGAACATGTGATCTTGGAGCCAGCAGGTAGCCTGGTAGTTAAGGTGCTGGACTCCCACATGGCAACCATGGTTCAAGTCCTGGACCTGGCACTTCAAAATCACACCAAGTACTTGTGTGTGCATACCCAAAATCTCAGGAGGAAAAAGAGATTGTGACATGGCCATTTCCCCTGGGGGTGAGAGGGTGACTTTCCCTCTCACTGCCCCTCTCACCGTCCTCCACCAGCAAGCACATGGATCCTGTGGAAAAGTCCTTAAAACACACACAAGCTCGTTAGTAGCTGGAGCCACTTCCAGCGTCACGCTCTGGTTAAAACGGCCTCCTTTCCTCCCTCAGCCCTGATGCACCATAGCAACCATGTGGACAGCAGTCGCTGCTACCAGTGTGTCAAGTTCCTCGTGACTCTTGCTCAAAAGTAAGTATCGACTTGAGGTGCAGGAGGAAGTATTATGTGAATTGCAAGTCAGTCATACATGATTAGGAAAAAACGTCCTCGTTTTGGTCCCTAGAGTCTGGTTTAGTCAGGGCACATTTGCTTGGAAGGCATGGAAACCTACTCAGATGATCGCAAAAAAAAATGGGAAGGAGGAATATTAAAAGAGTGGCAAATTTTATGGAATAATAATAAAAATAATAATAACCCTCACTCAAGGCCTACTTCATTAGTGTAACCCAACTACCCCTTCTCAGGTCTAGGTCCTGAATTTCACAATGGCCTCTAGGGGTCAGCAGATGATATAACTGTAACATCGCTGGACTCCCACATAGTTCAAGTCCTGGTGGCTTGAAACTAACACCAGGCATGTGTACATGCGTGCCCAAGATCCCGGGAGGGCAATGGAGAAAGGATTGCAGCATGGCCATATCCCCTTGGGTGCTGATTTCTCACTTTCGCTCTGTTTCTCTCTCTGGTGAGCACACACGCCCTAAGGCAAAAGCCTTTACCAAAAAAAAAAAAAAAAGGTCAAAATAACCTCTCGAGGGAACCGGCAGTTAGCGTAATGGCTATGTCGCTGGACTCCCACGTAGTCGACCGCGGTTCGCGTCCCAGACCTGGTGGCTTAAAACTCACGCCAGGCACGTGTGCATGCATGCCCAAGATCCCAAGAGGAGAATGGAGGAGAAGGGATTGCGGCATGACCATCCCCCCTGGGGGGTGATTTCTCGCTTTCTGTCTCTATGTCTCTCTCTGTCTGGCGAGCGCACGCGCCCTATAGCAAAAAAAAATCTCTCCACAAAAATAAAATAACATAACCTCTCAAGACAAAAATCATGTCACCCACAGCTGCTGAGCATTTGCGAGCCCCAGGACTGGGCCATGTTAACGTATTCAGTCTTGCAGCCATTTCACAAGGCTGGGTCTGGTTTAATCATGTGTCACTGATGGTGTAAGTGACACACCTAGAATCACAGAACTAAGATTTGGACACCAGCTCGATGAAGGTTTTTTGTTTGTTTGTTTAATTATGGTAAAATATATATAACATAAACTTTACCATTTTAACCGTTTTTCTAAAGTTCAGTTGGGTGGCATCAAGTAGATTGACATTGCTGGGCAACCACCGTCACCACCGTCCATCTCTGTAACTCTTTCACCTTCCCCACTGAGACGCAGGTCCCACCAAGTGCTCACTCCCCGTGCACTCCCTCCCAAGGCCCTGGTGGCCCCTGTTCTCATTTCTGTCTCTAAGAATTTGACTCCTCTAGGCACCTCACATAAGTAGGGTCTTAGTCTTTTGTCTTTTTGTGACTGGCTTATTTCATTAGCTTAGTGTCTTCAGAGTTCATCCATGTTGTGGCATGTGTCAGAATTTCTTTCCCTTTTTTTTTTTTAAACTTCGTATATTTCAAAAGAGGGAGGTAGTCTTGACAGGGTCTCACCACACTGCAGACTTCCTCCCAGCCAGCCAGGATTGCAGGTGCCCCTGAATGTTCAGGTTGGCCCAGGATCCAAACCCAGGCCTTTCTCATGGCTCCAGTGACACAGCAGCACCCTCCTGCCCACGCCACTACTCCTGGGCCAGAATTTCTTTCCTTTATAAGGCAGAATAATGTATCGGTATGTTTGTGTAACACATTTTGTTTTTCCTTTCTTCTGCCAAGGGAAAGTTGAGAAGTAAAGTTTCTTCATGTTAGGAGCGATCGTGGTTTGCTAGTTTGACTCCTCTGTGAAGTACCTGGGCAAACAGATCGGAGTGACTGACAGCCCAGGGTTAGTGAGCCTGATGAGGTGCCTATATGCTACCATCACTGAGTCTTGCATCAAGACTTTTTTTTTTTTTTCTGCTGTAGGGAACATGCACTTGCTGGAGAGACAGAAAAAGTGATAAAGCACCCCCAGTGGATATGGTCACACTACAATCCCTTCTCCATTCCCCCTCTCCTTTTTGGATTTTAGGCATACATACACACGCCTTGCGTATTTTTCAAACCACCAGGTCTGGAACTCAAACCATGCAGCTGGCCAGGTGGGATCCAACCATCTTAACCACCATGCCAACAGCTGGCCCACACCAAGCTTTAATTTGTCTTGTTCCGGATTTATCTTGATTCTTAAGCATGAGTTTTGCCGTTCTTGAACATGAGAATAAGAATGAGAAATCAACTTGGCTTAACCTGCTGCATTTCAGCTTCCTAAACAGATATAAATCAGAGCCCATTTGAAGTAATGTGCAAACACGCGTTTCTCAGATGACACAGGACCGTGGACACAGATGGGTATCGTCCTACCGGTTGTGGGTTCGTCAGTTAGACTGGAGATGTGCAGCATGTCATGAGTATTTGAGTGCCTCTTCCAGACGGTTCTGGGGCCACAGAGTCCGTCTGATGGCAGAGGCTTAGTCAAGATAGCCGCCCTTCTCAAGACCCTGCGTCCTTCACATACCTGTGTATACTCACGTTAGTGGCCACGTTGCCCTCAGAACTGCCTTTAACTATAAAGGACAGTTTTCCAAGAACACAAAGGCAGGGGGGCTCTAAGACCATTCTTAAAAATTATTTTTCCTGTAATCTCTTTCTTCTTATTCAAATCACACAGAAAAATTAAAGGCTAATTTGATTGTATCGAGAGATCATTTTATTAAATGTACAATTTATTGTGGGATTTTTAGTTTTGTTTTATTACTCATTTCTAACTTTGAATTTTAGTAGAACCAAGTGAATGAGAGTTAGAAATAGAATAGGAACTTTGTTTTTGAAGTTTAACTACATGTGAATGTGAATGTATTAGCTATCCAAACAAAAAAGTAAAATTTTAAAGACAACTGAATTTTAATGGAGATAACACTTGTGTCTCAGAATGAAAAGATACTGTAGAATAAAAAGTACAGCAGATGGTGTAATGGTTATGTCTCTGGACTCCCATAGTGTCGACCTCGGTTCAAGTCCCATACCCAGCAGATTAAAACTCACACCAGGCGTGTATACGTGTATGCCAGAGATCCTGAGAGGAGAATGGAGGAAAAAGGACTGTGGCATGGCCATCCCCCCGGGGGGTGATTTCTCACTTTCTGTCTGTCTCTCTCCAGCGAGAACTCATATCCTTTAGCAAAAATCTCTCTCTCTAAAAAAAAATGATATTATGCAGCTTAAACAAACAGATTTGCAGAGAAGGCATTTGGCTAATAAAATCCCTCAATCACCAGGTGTCCTGCCGCTAAAGAATACTTCAAGGAGAATTCTCATCACTGGAGTTGGGCTGTGCAGTGGCTGCAGAAGAAGGTAACTGGGTTTTGAACATCTCCGGCCGTAACACAGGAATAATAGCATACTGGAACAAGGAACATCTCTTAAACCTAGTTTGGAGACTGACCCCAGAGTATTTTCAGACTTGAAGCATTTCTTTCATATGCACGGTACCTACCTGTGTGCATTATGCAAACATGTGTCTGAACTTTGCAGGTGAAGGATTGGAATGAGTATATTAAGGAGTATTTTACTGCATCTCGAGAGTGGAAGTGACATTTTCCATGCAGCTGCCAGATGTAGTGGAGGGCCTGGGGGCACTTCTATTTTGGAAGCTTTTTAGACTCCGATGTCTAATGATAGAAACTGGACTCACAGGGGCTTACTGGGCATCTCTTTTTGACCTTTCCTCTCAGATGTCAGAACATTATTGGACACCGCAGAGTAACGTCTCCAATGAAACGTCAACTGGAAAAACGTTTCAGCGAACCATTTCCGCTCAGGTGAGAGTCGGTTTTTGTGTTTGAATGATTTGAAATCTGCATGTGTGAGTTTCATCGTGTTTCTCAGAAACTGCAGCCTCCAAGGAGGGAGGTTTGGGTTGTAAATGAGAAGAGAAAATGATTGAATTTCTATGAAATAGCAGCAGACTGGTGTGCACTTGTCTAGGTCTGTCTAGATCAATGATTTGTCTAGAAGAAAAGCAATGCAGTTGGTCAGTCTGGCTCCACAGGGATGGGGGTTGAGAGGGTGCTCTGGTGGCTGCTGGGAAGACTCCTGAGGCCCTGGTCCTGCCAAAGGTCAGGTGAAGGGCAGTTTTCCTTGGTGCTCGCTGCTGCCTCCAAACAGCTTCTAACTTTTTCTCCTGTGTTTAAATCCCCCGCAGGACACCTTAGCATATGCCACAGCTCTGTTGAATGAGAAGGAGCAGTCTGGGAGCAGTAACGGGTCAGAGAGCAGTCCTGCAAACGAGAACGGGGAGAGGCACTTACAGCAGGTATAACTGCAGGGCGTGTCCTGTGTGAGAGGGCGGCCCTTGCTCTTAAGCAGTCCAAAAAGAATTTCTATGATCAGGGAAAAAAGATGCCTCTGGAGGGTGCATCTGAGGAGACACCAGCTCCACCCTCCAGTGATCTCAGCTGAGGACTCCCTGACAGTGTGTGCAAAGCTGACCAGTGCTGTACATGGAAAATACAAGGCCTCAAGGCGTCAGCTGGCCACTCTAATCCATTTAGAGCTAGTGCCAGTGAAGCCAGGCCACAGGGTACCTGTCCCAGCTGTTCATCTCTCTGTCAGGCTACTAAAAATCCCCCTTCTGCTTTCACCTGCCTTGCTGAAACATGGACCCTTAGATGGAAAGGCCTCATGTCTTCTTGTTTTTTTGTTTTTTATGGAGAGATTTTTGCTTTAGGGCACATGCACTCACCAGACAGACAGAGAGACAGACAGAAAACGAGAAATCATCCCCCAGGGGACTGGCCACACCACAATCGCTTCTCCTCCATTCTCCTCTCAGGATCTTGGGCATGCACGCACACGTGCCCGGCGTGAGTTTTAAGCCACTGGGTCCGGGACGCAAACCGTGTTCAACCACATGGGAGTCCAGCGACATAGCCATTACGCTAACTGCTGGTCCTAGGCCTCATGTTATTGAGGTATAGTGGCGTTATCAGGGGAGTCAAAGAATCATTGTAAGCTTTTTTTTTTTTTAATTATCTTTTTTCAGTAATGATCACTATAGTAGAAAAAGAAAATACTCACTGAACGCCTACCACGTGTGAAATACTCCAGCAGGGTGGTGTGACTTAACCCAGGTCACTCTCAGCAGTTTACTGTTTCTCCCCCCCCCTCTCTGGTATCTTGAAGTCTCCCTACATCTCCCAGATCCTTTGCAATTTCAACACACTCAGATCTCTCCCATCCCCTCAGAAAAACCTCTCCTTCCCTTTTATTACCTCCTGCCCTCTTTCCTTTCACAGCACCTTCTCCAAAGCGTTCTCTAAACTTCACTCTCCCTGTCTTCTCTCTCGCTCATTCTTGAGCCTCTCCAGCCTACTCCCACCTCTCGATTGTGGTGCCTGCACCTTTCAGTTTTGCTCGCAGCGGCTGTGGCACTACAGCCAGTCCTCCCTTTTGGAAACACTCTCTTCAGTGCCTCCATCACACCAGGCTCTCCTTGTTTTCCTGGAACCTTCTGGCTGATCTTCCTCAGTCTCCTCCCCAATTCAGCCTCTCCTAGGCCACCCGTAATTGCTCAAGTCTGTCCTAGGCTCCTTTCCCCACTCAGCGCTTCCTCATCCACACTCAATGGCTTCGTTTCTTCTGAGTTTTGGACAGGCGCATCCAGCTCGCTTGTTCTTGCTGTCTGTACTTGATATGTCTCAAAGAGCCCTCAAACTCAGCACGCCCAGCTCCCCATTACCTCCCTACCCAAGCTGGTTCTCCATCAGTGTCCTCTCGCGTAAGCAGCACCCCTGTCACCAGGCAGCAGGCCGGACACCTCCATGCCATCAAACAGTTCCTTCACACCGCAGGCAGCCGGCCTCCCCCAGTGCTCATCCATCTCTTCCGTCTGCCAGAAGCTCCTCAGTACCTGGATCTCTGCTCAAAACCCCATCCCCACTCTGGCTTCTCTCCAGGCCACTTGCTCTAACCTTTCCACGGCTGTCCTTTGTGGTTAGGAAACTCCTCGGCACAGTCTGTCCCCTGCCCCTGTGCACCTCCATCTTACTTTCTAAACTTTTACATATAAAGTGTACTTTGTTCCTTCTACCTCCGGCCCTCCCACTCACCTCCCCGACAGCTCCCCCCCCCAACTCCCACCGAGCTTACCTGTCACTTCCGCAGGGGCTGTCCCTGCTTCTCCCCACCTCCCCTCCAACCAGATCAGTCCCAAGGCACATGGTAAGTGTTCAGAACTAGTTGGTCAGTGTATAAGCCAAAGGGCACAGAGTTGGTGACAGAATTCAGACCCAGGGATGCCCCAGCGCCCATCTTGGGCGGGTGCAGTGCAGAGAAAGTAAGCACAGCACCCAGCACAGTGGGTATCAGAGGCAGCCGCTCCCTCTCGGCGTCCTCCCCTTGTCACTCTGAGTTGTAACAAGAGCCTGCCTGTGTGGGTAGCATAGCACTGTGAGGTTAGGCAGGTCACTCAGTTCTACCAGGGAATGAAAGTATTTTGCATAATCATGAATCGACAGATATAATGTGTAATAGTTATTACCTTTTTTGTTCTGTTTCAGGGTTTTTTTTTGAAGTTTATGTATGTACTTCCATGAGTAGCAGAGAGACAGCACCCCCCTCAGGGTCTTGAGGCCACATCCCACCCCCAACCTTCAGTCAGCGCTGCATCGTGGACACACATACTCAGGGAGGTCTCTGGCCTTGAACTGAGGACCTTCCCATGGGAGCTGGCCCTTGCAGAGTATTGCATTTCACCCCTACCCCATCTGGCCCCATCACTACACCTTATGGCCCACTAGCAAACACTGAATTAGGTTGCTAGATGAGAACATGTTTAAATTACAGACACAAATAAGGCAGTTGGCATAGAAAGCTTGTCCTCAAACCTTATGTTAAGTTTAATGTCTTGTTCTTTTCCACAGGGTTCTGAGTCTCCAATGATGATTGGTGAGTTAAGAAGTGACCTTGATGATGTTGACCCTTAGAGGACTGCGCCCAGCCCTGGCGAGGAGTCACACCCCCGTGTGGGACACTCAGCATCTTTTTGACACCAGAATCTCATCCTTGAAGGCCTTGGAGGAGCCCAGACTGCAAGAGCCGCTGTGGCCCTGGAGGAGCGTGCTCTGAAGAAAAAGCGCTTTGGCCACTCGAAGGCCTGGGAGCTGCTTGGCGGTGGGAGAACCTCACCACGTGGATCGACTGTCCCGGTGGATGAAAGTTTCTGTGGATTTTTAGGAAATCAGACCGGTGGCAGACTTTCTCGTTCCGTGAACATACAAGAGTGGGGGTAAAGCTGTTGCTTTCTCTATGATGCCACAAGAGAAATTCCTTCGGTTTTTATATTTTAAGGGGAAAAAAAATAAAGCAAGCTGCCTTTAGATATGTGAGGGCAAATTTTTAATCTTGCAGTAATAACATTGAATAGGAATATCTAATTTAAAATGATGTAAAGATATGTGATAAAACCCCTTTTCATTGTAAAATAGTAGTTAAAAATTCAGTTTACACAGACCTTTGTATTTAATATGTCTCCCTATTTGTATAGAATTTGAAATGGATCTGGTCGAGCACCCTGGGCATAAGCTTGGATCTTGATGAATTGTTACCAGGATCAAAAATTGAGAAATTGCTAATGCTCTTTAAGGTATTTTTTTCTGATATTATTGAGACTGAAAAGAGCAATTTAAAAAAAAAAAAAAAAGCCGTGTTCTCCAAAAGTATAGGGTGCGTTGTTAGACATCAGTCACTAAAGAAGTTATGCATTGTTCCCAAAACCAGTTTTAAAAACAGCAAAATTAAAAGCACTTTAAGATATAATTTTATTGAGTTTAACTTCATAAAACTATCTTTTTAATGCTCGGAGACATATTGAATAAACTGTAGTCTTTAAATCATGTGATCTGCAATCATTTGCTTTTGCTTAAAACATTATCACTGAAACCTTTGATACTGGTTGTATATGAAGTTAAATATTTGAATTGGGAGACATTGCTCTGTGGGTTTCATAGCAATTTTAATAGAGAAGAAATTTGAGACTTTGTTTCTCTTCAACATGACTGATTAACACCGAGAAGACAGCCAGGTTTACGATTTATTTTCCCAGAATAACTAGAAAGCAATTGAACAACTATCTGTGTAGGTGTATTCCCAAAGCATGGCCCTGCTCACTCGTTTCAGGTTAGGTACAGGCTCCCCTTTGGCGGGGTGTGGGGGGGGGTTACTCCAACAGAGTCCATATTCCTGTATTTTGTACATTTTGTATTTTGAATTGCTCACACACGTTTTCAACCCTGTTTTGCCTTTAGTTATATGTTCTGCCTTATTCTCAACTCATCGTGTGCAGAACTAGGGGAGCCCTAGGAAGTGCCAGATTGCCACTGTCGGTTAGACTTGCCAAGTCAGAGAGGCGCAGCCAAGCCCCAAGTGCCTTTTTGGTTGCTTTTGCATCTTGCATAGACACGTGGCAGGGCAGACAGCTTTCCACTGCTGTGTGCTTTCAGCCGCCCGGTCATTTCACTATTCACCCGTGGAGGTTTACGTGCAGTTCAGGCTTCTCTTTGTAATTTCACCACTTAACCGCAGGGAGTGATGGCTCTTTTGATCCATGGAGAAGATGGAAGGGCTAGCTTTTAAGAGCACAGCTGTGCTCTCCCAGAAACGGACAGAGGCAATCTGCAGATCGTAGATGGTTCTAATGTTCTTGCAATGTTGACTGTGATATTCTGGAATGGACTTCGAGTACCTGGGTACTCCGTGTCCTGCTGTTTCCCCTGCCCCACCCTCACCTCTCCACCCCGGGATCTTCACAAAAAGGTTGTGAGGGACATGACATTGAAATGCTGGCGATGATGTGTGTTGGGGTGTCATCGCTGGCCACTGCAGTCTCAGGAGCCCAAATTCAGGAGTGAAATGACCACTTCTCGCCCCTTATTTCCTATGGAAACGACGCCTCCCACACCCCCGCGCCTGCTGTCCTCACTAAAGCTCCACCCGGATGCCCGTCACTGTTGTGTGTTAGATGCTTCGGTTAGTTTTGCCCAAGTTGTCGCTGCGATGACATCGTTTTCTCTTCGCCAGTAACCACTTGATTTCCGACGGCTGCAGTCCACGAGCCTGCTGATGACTTTTTTAAACATAGAACAACAAAGTGACAATAATGACAGGATTACCTTGGAAGAGTTGTCATTTTTACTGCCAATTTTTTGGATGAAGATGTTTTTTATAAATCTTTCAAAATGGTCTGCAAAATGAGCAGGAATTGCACAATTAACTCAACGCCGTATGTCTCAGGATGCTCCCTTAGCGAAGGCCGAGCTTAGGATGACCGATTCGGCCCATTCAAGGCATCCTGGGAAAGAAAGCCAACAAGCATCTGACGGCATCCCGCCCAGACTCCTCCCGGAGTACTCATGTGGTCACTGACAACTAGAGGCAGGTGTAGGACCCAGAGCGCGCGTCACCGGACACCCTCCGTGTCGCCCCAGCCTCCCTGCTGACATCGAGGTGTGTGCAGTTACCTGTTGAGCTTGGAACAAGCAGACTGGAATTTTCCTCTGCTACCTCTTGTATACAAATCTTGTTTATAAAATTTCAAAAGGAAGTAGAAACTAGGGAATAATCTTCATTCTAAATTTGGTTCATGCGTGGCAGAGTTCTTAGCTTCTAAGAGTATTATAAAATAAATTTTTCAAAAATGTAGAGTTGGTGTCTCACCGACGTTTTTCTCCATAGATCAGAAGCCAGCCCAGGCGTGTGTCTGCGTGGGCGGTGGGAGTTCCCGCATGGAGTGAGGTCGTCAGGCTCTACCGCTGGATAGAGGTCTGAGATTGTTCTTAAGTTCACATTATGCAAAACAGTCGTGGCCTGTTACAGAAGCATCTGGAACTCGTATAACTCATCGTAAAGGCTCGATGAGCCAGGGGCTGGGGAGAGATGAGTAGAAAGAGCAGTGGGAGCTCAGAGCTCCGCGGTGGGCACCTAGAATGCTCTCAGGGGACAGGCTACCGGGAAGGAGTCCCCCTACCTGTTGGGGGAGTCAGAGAAGCTACAGGAAGATGTCCAGTTCCTTCTTAGGGCTGACACATGGCATAAGCTCAGGTCACCAATGCACATCAGATATTTGCACCGAGAAGCCAGGTATTCATCAAGTACTTGCTTTAAATTCGTCATTCCACAGACGTCCCCTTGCCTAGTACATGTCAGGTGTCCTTTATCCAGAATCGCAGTGTCCAAGATGCTCCAAACCTTCCCAGCAAAGACATGAGGCCTGAGAGAGAACCCACTCCCGACCTCACATGATGGACTTGGGTCTCATCCCCAAGAGGTCTCATCAACACAGGCACATTGCCCCAGATCTGAAAACACCCAAACTCTGAAACACTTCCATTTTGGATAGGGATAATGTGTGTAAGGCATCGGGGAGTCAGATCCAAGCAAGAGTCATGGCAAAGTTGCTTTTATTTGAAAAAAGTCACCATATAATAAAAATGCTACAAAACCCAGAATAAATATCTTCAAGTCATAAAAGCAAAACAGGTCCAGAAAGGCTTTTTGCTATAAAAAGGCAACAGAAAACAGATGCTTGCATGGGTCAGTGGGTGTGGGGGCAGCATTCAGGGTGGACAGTTGCCCCTTTCTGCCCAACACCATAGGAGGCCTCTCCACCCCAGGCCGCTCAGCCAGCCAAGGTAACTGCTGGACAGGCCACACCCACAGGAGCAGCAGCCGAGCAAGCAGGTGAGGTGGGCTCTGCTGCTGCGCCCTGAGCTTGCTCGGGTCTCTGCCCCGTGCCCTGGCCACACCAGGCAGACCTGGGTTTAGCCTGGCACCACCTCAGTTCCCAGCATTCCTCTCTTGGTCCCAGTCTGTTCCTACGTGAGGTGGGACGCCAGTAAGGACTGCAGGGAGCTGAGAGGGTGGGGCGAGGCGGACATGCAGCATGTGTCCCCAACCCCCTGTCCCCTGCACACTGACAGCGCTGGCAGTTGGTGATGTCTTGAGTGGAGCAGAGTGAGAGCAGCCAGGAGAAAAAGGCATGGCCCCGTGCCACCTGGGACATTTCTCCAGCCTCTGGCAGGATCTTGCCTCACCCTGCCCCTGCCCCTGCCCCTGCCCCTGCCCCCGAGTGTGTTAAA